CTAAATCTATTGGAAGAAACAGTAGGTAAAATTGTTGAAGACACAGGCAGAGAGTTCATGAATAAAAACCAAACTGCATGGGAAATACTTCAAAGAATCAACAACTGGGACCTCATTTTATTGCAAAGTTTTTGCACATCAAAAGAAATCACCAACAGAGTAAAAAGAAAACCCACGAATTGGGAAAAAATTTTAGCCAACTGCCCCTCAGACTAACGACTTCTATCTAGGACATATAAAGAATTACAAAAATCAGGCCCCCCAAATTCAAAGACCTGATCTGAAAGTGGGCATTTGAGATGAATACACATTTCTCAAATGAAGAAATACTAATGGCAAATAAATACATACGAAAAAATGTTCAACGTCATTAGTCATTTGAGAAATGGAAATTAAAACAACACTGAGATTCCATCTCACCCCAGAAAGAATGGCTATCATCAAGAAATCAACCAATAAATGCTGGAGAGTCTGCGGGGGAAAAGGAACCCTACTCCACTGCTGGTGGGAGTGTAGATAGGTGAAACCACTGTGGAAATCAGTTTGGAGATTCCTCACAAAACTAGGATTGGAAGTCCCACTTAACACAGCTATTCACCTTCTGGGTATTTTCCCAGAGGAATTAAAAACATCATACCACAGAAATATATGTACACCCATGTTTATAGCAGCAAAATCTGTTATAGCTAAACCTTGGAAACAACCCAAATGCCCATCAACTGAGGAATGGATAAAAAAGATGTGATATTTATACAATGCAGTACTACACAGCTATAAAAAAGATAAACTCAAGGCTTTTGTAGGTAAATGGATGCAACTCGAGACCATATTCATAAGTGAAATAAATCAGACCCACATGTGTAAACATCGTATTGTCTCAAAATGTACAACAGATGATATGAAAGGGGAAGAAATTGCTCAAAGGAAGGAACAACTGGTGTGGAAAAAGACATTCGTTAGGACACACAATGATATGTTATTGTTTGTTTGGGTTTCTTACGGTAAGGCTTCATTATACAGCCCAGACTGGCCTTGAGTTTACGATCTTCCTGCCTCATCCTCCCAAATGCTGGGATTACAGGTGTGTGTTGGATTACATGTGGAGAAGGATAATCCTTTAATTACTCTTTCAGTGTATTGCCTCAGGCCTGATGAAGCCATTTGATTGTTTAGTTCTGGACGGAGTCTAGCAAAAGCACTGGTAGAAAGGATAAGATCACAAAACCTGCGTCCTTGTGGAAAGCCATGAGGTCAACACTAAATACTTTACTAAGACATGCAGAAGGAATGATAACATGATGGCTTACTAAGTCAAATCTCATACTTACGATAACTGAGCTGTATTATCCTTCCTAAAAAAAAAGTTTGGTACCCCCCCATGTGTACTAGTTACACCCCTGGTTCTCGCTCAATAAAAGGTGACTGAGATTGGTAATCGGGGATGCAGTCCGAGAGGCTGCTGCAATCCAAGAGGCTGCAAGCCTCCTGATCCCAGAATTATGCCTCTCTTTTCTTTTTTCTCTTGCTTTTCTTTTCATCCGTGGGTATCTCATTCTCGGGACAATCTGTCACCCCTGGACAGAAACAGAATCTACTTCTGACAAACTGGGATGAGGGAAAGAAGGCAAAATATATATATATGTATGAATAGCTGGGATAACTATACTGCTGATGTCTGATGATATATTGAAAGGAATAGTTAATGCTTAAAATTTTTTATGTTCTGACCAGTGTTGCATGCTTTTATCTGATAATCTGAGCAACCGATTTGAAAACAACAACATGCAATGGAACAACCATCGGTGAATTCCTACCATCTTGTCTAATGAAACTCTGCATTATCTCTAATGTTTTATCTAATTATTTTTTATTCTCTTTAATGGTTTGAACAATCTTCTATTCTTACATCTGGTAATCTGAGCAATGTAGCTGAACATAACAATACGTAACACAACAACCACTATTAATTCCTATTTTGTTTTGAAACCCTGTATCACTTTTAATGTTCTTGCTTTGCTTTGTTAATGTTTGCGATGTTGGTATGCTGCTATTGTTCTTTTTTCTTCCTTTCTTTCTTTTACTACTCTCTTTAAAATAGAAGAAAAAAAAAATTCTTCCTTAATTTTTCCCCAGTATGTAATCTGATTCAATGCTTACAGTAAACATCATCCAACTTTTGGCTTTGATTAATTTTAGCACCTATGAATTTTAAATTAATGGCTAAATCTCTTACCTAATAAAAGCAACAACAAAATAAAATAGAAAGCAACAGCAAAATAAAATAGAAAGCAACAGCAAAATAAAATAGAAAGCAAAGCAGAAAAAAAACAGTCAGGTGTTCTACTGTCTGTCATTGCATTTAATTCTCACAACTTCAGAAGACAGAGATAGTACCTCTAATGCCAAGAAATACTGCTACAGAAAACTGGAAAACACACAGAAAACCAAAATTGCTAATCCCATAAATCCAAGTAAATACTGGAAAAATATCTTTAAAAAGAAGAATCATAGGGGCTTGGGTTCAAGTGAAGCTCAGTTGTACAGCATGTGCTTAGCATATATGTGAGGGGCTCAATTCAATCCCCAGCACTGGAAAAAAAATTAAGGATCTTAACATACAAAAAATTAAAAGACAATCATGCAATTTGTAACAGTTTTAATGTAAGCGTTTTCCTAGTATCCTGGCTGTATGTGGATATTCAAAACTGGGGACAAAATTATTCTCATATCAGGCCTTCTAAAAAAAACAGAGTGAGATACTAACCTTTGCCATTTCATGAAGCCGCAACTAAGTAGATGGTGCACCCATCTTTGAGAGAACTGGTGAGTGAGTGACGCAAAGATATCATAGCATCCGAGGCAGAGTCCGCCTCAGGAAAAATGCTATGCCTCTGCAGGTCACAACTCTCCTTGCCAGTGCTCTGGGGGCGTTCAGGGCACACTACCTCCAAATATGGCATTTTGTCATTAGAGAAAAGAACAGAAGCAGGAAGGTCATTTTCACCTTTCCATCGTCCTTTCTTCCCTGAAGGAGATGTAAGACCTATGTAACCTTCCCCTGAAGTCACTGATTCTAAAGGTTCACTCCCTATGCCCAGAAAAAAATCTTTATCTCTGAAGACATAGGAACATACAAGGCCTGAACACAGTTTATGAACAGTAGGCACACAGGTGCCCACAGCCCTTCCTATGGCTCAAGGTAGCCCTTCCCAGCTATCCAGGAAAGGTAGCTAACTTGTGGAATCCTGCTGGGGACTCCCAATAGGTAAGAGAGCAAGTACGGGGTATAGCAATCTCTTTGCATCTGCAAACTATATTATGGGTCCCCTGATGAAACTCATACACAAGCTCCAAAACATTCTTAAGGTATAAAGTCCACTGGAAGAGACAGGCACAGTAGTGCACACCTATAGTCCCAGCTACTCAGGAGGCTAAGGCAGGAGGATTGCCAAGTTTGAGGCCAGCCTGACAACACATGGACATTCCATCTCATTAAAAAAAAAAAAAAAAGTACTAGAAGCAGCAGCTGGAGAAAAACCAAATCAAAATAATTTCAAATTTGTATTACACAAAGTTCTAGTTTAAATCTTCAAACTATTCCAAGTCAGAATGTTCATAAGTTTAAAGTACTTTTTTAACCAGACTGTGGTAATAATGTTTACAGGCAGTGAAAAATCAAGGTTTTCATTATAAATACCAAGTTATAAAAACTTGTACCCATCAATCATGTCTTTTGCCAAATGTCTTCTGGAGAAATCAGAGCAGGGAGGGGAACATCAGAATATAAGGAGTGTGTGCGAATTTTGCAAAGGAATACCAAAACTAACATGAAAACATGGCACGTTAGTTCATTCCCTAAAAATACTGCTGGTAATGACCAGATCCATTCTTCTTTTGTATAAGACAAAACCTAAACACTACCCAACAACAGAATAGTTCAAATGCTCTTATCAGAAAGTATAAACATTATACAAAACCAAAGACAAAAAAAAAAAAAATCCTTCAATTTTATGTTGCTTCCAACAAGGCAAAAACATTACATAATACACACTTCAAACACTCACTGCAGTAAGTAGAGTGGATAGGACCTCTGGGGAAGAAAATGTAGAAAAACTCCAATCTAGAATTATTCCTACTGAGCAATTTAGTATCCTACTACTACTGAGTAAAGATAAAACTTAAACCTGAGAAAGACCTAAGAATAATGTACTACAGGATAACTACCAATGATACTAGAAAATATGTAACAATGCTAGCTTTTGTGTTTTGTTTTGTTTGTGTTAGGTACTGAACTTAGGGCCTTGCATATGCTAAGCATGTACTCTACCACTGAGTTACACGCCCCCAGCAGAATCCTAGACATTTAAATATACTTTATAAATGAAGAGTGAGGCATACAGTGTTTCCATGGCATGTGAAACATCAGAGGGCAAATATCAATGGGCACTCAATACCATCGGAAACCTTCAATTACAGATAAGGGGGAAGGGAGTTAGTAACATGTTATGTCAAAATCATCTTTTCCTATTTCCCAAATATCCCCTCCATTTCCTCACCTTTTTTCCTCTCTATCTGGAATGTTCTCCATCCCAATCACCACCTTCAGAAATCCTACCAGTCTGTCCTTTAAGGCTCATTCCAAAGGCAACTTCCTCCACTGTTCAGCTTTCCTCAATTATTCCAGCTAGAAAAAACATATTCTAAAGTCCCGTAGTGAACTTGCTCTGCCATATTTAAAATCTGTCATTTGCACTGATTTTTTTGTCTTCTACTAAACTACAAACACCTCGATGGCAATGACCATGTCAATCTTCCTCCCCCCACAATCCTGCAGATAATCAAGTATTATACCCTGCATGCAAGAGGCATCAATAAATGTACATAAAATAAATTAAAATTATTTGTTAAAAGTAATAATTATTTTAATATTAATTAGAACAAAATAAAATGTTTATTCTAAAGTAACAATATTAAAAGAAAACATAATTTATAGCACTAACCCTTGGTGGCCCAATAATCATGCCTGTCCACCTTGTAAGTGTCATATCTTCATCATCTTCAAGGCCCCAGCTAACTGTACCATCTCCTACTCCTTTTTGTCCTTCTTCAAGTTCTTCCAACAAGCGAAAATTACGAGGAACTTTAACTCCTATACAAAAGAATGTCAGTGTAAATGTACAAAGCTCAAAATTATAAGAGCTACGCATATTTAAATTCAGCATTATCCAAATCTTTACAAATTATTTCCCCAAAGCACAAAATTTCCTTTAGAAAGCATTCTACCCCCAAAAAATGCTGAGTCTAATAACCCCTCAAAATGAAAATGTTACAGAAAGGACTATATTAAACATTAACAGCAATGCAGAACATACACAAAATTCCTACTTAATTTTATACTGTCCTCAATAACAAGGAAATCATAAAATGAACATTTTCCCTACCTAAAATACCAAGAACTGTGCATTAAATCAACAGGGACGACCAGAAAGTTCATATAAACTCTAAGGATTTTCAATGAGAATTGTGTTCCATCTTAGAAAATGCACCCAAAGTTTTCTCTAGAATGCTGCAGTGGCTCTGCCCATGGTCCACTCCTCTTTCCATTAGGGCTGCTGTTCCTAATCAAAAAAGCCCTCGCTGTGGGGTCAGCATCAACACTCAACTGTCATATGGGGAGTTACTGTGTTTGATGGAGAACAAATCTTACATTCCTAGTTTTCTAGGACATTCCCTTAACCTTCTGGCCCAACCTGGCAAAATTTTCACCATCCACTAAACCTTCTCACACTTCCACTCTGTCATACGTTTCTATTGTTTAGACCTCAGCACTGCTGAAGGTATTCCTAAGATCTTAACACAGACATATCAGGCTGGGGATTTAGCTCAGCAGCACAGCACCTGCCTGGCAAGCGTGAGTTCAATTCCTGGTACCGGGAGGCCAGAGGAACACACGTATCTCAGCCTAGAATCTCCTTTATTTCCAGTTTGCATGCCTTTTTTCAAGCTGGTCTTTCCTGTCATTCTGACTTCCAGTCCTTGGAATCCAACCACATACCTTCCAATTTTCCATTATCTTCCCTAGGACTATTGGCCAAGACTCTACCAAGAGAGGTCTTCCATATCCTCAACAGCATCTAATGTGACACATCCCCAAACCTTACCACATGTTCAGTTAAAAGTATGAACTCTCCCTTAGAATCCTGTCTTGGTGCTCTTGCACTCATGTTCTCCTGCACACACACATAGACACACATACAATTTCAGAGTAGAAAGAAAAAATGACATCTTCTTAAAAGCAACTGTATCATTTTGTGTAGCTGCTCTCTCCCCTGAAACCAAAACATCTCTTTCACTTCCTACTTCACAGTAATCCTTCCGGACATATTAATAATGACAAGTATACACTGCAACTTTAATGTCAAACGAACACTAACTACTTTGTGTTCTATGCTTTGTAGAATGGATTAAAAATCATAACCCACAGAAACGAGGAATGTTATAAATCTGTTTATATATACATTAAATTTACGCATATTTGTTTATATACATTTGTTTATATACATTGAAAGCACTGGGAACTGAAGAACTCACATGACCTTCCCAAGGTCACACAGCTCAGTGGCAAGTCCAGTATAAAAGCCCACTTTCCACACCACAGCTTGCCTTTTTACCACCACGCTTCACAGCACTACAAATGCATGGCAGTATGGGCTGGCACATAAGCACACAGATTCTAGAAAGCAAACTGCCACAGTCCAGGCCCAGGTCTGCAGCCCACTTCTGACCAATAACCCTGACAATCTTCTCTCAGTTGTCAAGAGTCAGATAACAGTTCCTACCTCAAGTGAATCAATGTGGAACTTAACAAGGTAATTCACCCTAATCGAATGTTGACTATGATCATTTTAGGATCCACACTAAACAGAATGACATGAAACTTCTATTTACCTCCATCTAAGTTGTTGACAATAACAGCTCCTTACAAATTCCTATATGATGGTCCCTGGAAATTTATCTTAAGCTCTAAGTTACTATTTATGTAACATTGAAACAACTACTTTTCTCATTTTTTGATAGCTGTAGACTCATGATCTCCATAATCTATCGCTACTGAACTGCTGTCTCTGAAATAATCCTAAACAATCCCGATTACCCTTGTTGTTATGAAGTTACTCCCCCAAGAATAACTCTAAATTTGAGTTGAAATTTTTGCCTCTTTTTTATAATCAATTTAGTCTGGTAAGCCTTATGAGCATCTAAAACTACAAAGAAAACAAAGTAAAATTAGTGTCCTTAAGTGTCCTAAGTGCGACAAACTTAGTTACTGTTATACTTTTCACCATTCCTCTGTATAGCATTTTGGAAAAATTATTCTAAAATTAACAGACTCATTACTGGCAATGCTAACATTTAAAGATTGCAACTTCTATGATGATTCTGTTATTTTAGACTCAACCCAAAATACACAGTGAGCTGTATTTTTTTAAATTTTATTTTAAAGAGAAAACAAAAACAACAAAGAGACATAAGCAAAACAACACAAAACAATAAAAATACAGAATTTCAGGTGTATAGGAAGGTGACAGGAAATTAACAATGGTTGTTGTTCTACATACTGCTATCTTCAAACTGGTTACTATGTTTTCAATTCAGGACTAGAGCACCCTGGTCTTATTTCACCTAACTAAGCCTATAGAGAAAAGTTACAAGGTGGGGTAGGTGCAAGACAAAAGTTACAGTGAAGGGACTAAGGGTCTCAAGTTAGGCAATAAAAAGGTTATAGGAATTATTAATCAACAAATCAAGAATTGAATGCAGGCTGTGGAATACTATTCATATTCAAGTCTCCTAGTTAGTGCATCACAGTGAACTTCTACTCTACAGAGATTCAGGCCAAAAATAACACCAGACATAGCCTGCACTTCAGAAGGATGCAGCAGGAGAATCAAAAGTTTGAGTCCAGCAACTTAGCAACTTTTTGAGACCTGACTCAAAATTTAAAAATAAAAAGGGGCCAAAAATACAGCTCAGTGCCAAGGCCCTGGGTTCAATCCCCAACACTACTAAGAAATAGGGATTTACCTTCTAGTTTCACAGTGCTCAAAGTATTAATACAAACATTGATAAAAGCTCTCTGGTAATATTCTCTAAATCCTCAAAAGTTTAGAACTCAAGTATTTGATTTTAAAAAGAAAAACAGAGGAAACACTACCTACATATTAAAGATTTCCTCATCAGCTAATACAGAGAATTATGGTATTGCACAATTCGTGCAAGAATCAACAGACTAATAAAAAAAAGAAGAGACCCAAAGCAGACATGCATGAAAACGTTACATTTAGTAGAAGCAGCATTAAATCAAAGGCAACTGCGTTACCAGAAAAATGAATCATTATTTTGCCTTAAAAGACACTACTGGGAAAAGTGGTAGGATACGAGCAGGTCCTGCAAATAAGTTCATCAATAATTTCCTGATAATAATTCTATTGTTGTAATATAAAATGTTCTCGCTTTCAATAAATACACAATGAAGTATTTAGGGCTGAAAAGGTATATTTCTGTTAACTTACTCTTGAACAGTTCCAAAAACAAAATCACGTGTTTCTTTTAGGAGAAAAAAAAGCAAATGCAAAAAACACTAAATATTAACATCTGATGAATCTAGGTGAAGGCACTGGTAATTCTTTGTACTATTTAACTTTTCCATAACTCTGAAGTTAATTTTAAAAAGAAAAAAAAAGTGAAAGGTTAATGATGTTGGAACATTTTATCAATATAGAGAAATAAAATACGTAAGAACTAATTCTCTCACAATACGTAAGAACTAATTCTAGCCAGGCATGGTGGTGCCTTCCTGTAATCCCAGCACTCCAGGAGCCTGAGGGAGGAAGATCCAGAGTTCAAGACTAGAGTGGAATATATAGCAAGACTCTGTCTCAAAACATCAAAAAAAAAAAAAAAAGACTCAATTCTATATAAAGTAAATGTATAAATATGAAGAGTAAGCCACACTTCCATAAAAGATATCCTTAGTACCTTTGGATACATGAATGGATTTCTTACAACAAAAAAGAACAAGCCAAAAGACAGAGAAGCTTGACTAAAATATAAAACTGAAATTCAACAAAAGACAAATGAAAACAAAAGCCAAAGACTGAAAGATATAAAAGACAAAATGTCACTATTCGAAGTACAGACAGAATTGCTCCTTAAAAAAAAAGACACAATTAGAGAAATATGGTCATATATTTAAAAAGGTTTACAGCAAAATAGGAATAATCAATAAACATATAAAAATATGTCCAACTTCATTAGTAATCACTGAAACATAAAGCCATAATGGCTTATCTGACAATTCCTTGTTTGGGCAAAGATGTACAGAACAGAAACTGCTAAGTTGGAAGAAACTGGTACAATTCTGTGAGCAACTGATAAAAATTTACGGTGATCCAAGTACAGGCCTAGAAAAACCCAGGCAAATGCTCCCAGGAAGAGAGGAACAAAAATGTTAACTAAGCACCTTAAATAGGGACAATTTAGAAATAGCTTCCACAACACAGCACATAACAGCATACTCTGCTGCAATTAAAATGAAGGCATATGGCTTCAAGTATCAGTCAAAACTACAACTTTAAAAGCCTGTAATTTAATGGGCAGAGTTTTAGCTTTGCGAGATGTAAAAGCTCTACAGCAGTGATGGCGAACCTTTTAGAGCTTTCAATACCACTGCCACACGGGGCGAACCTTTTAGAGCTTTCAATACCACTGCCACACTTTCAATATTCACTGCCACACAGGTGCACCACCTCTGCTCTAGAGACTGGTTGCACAACAATGTACTACGACTGACCTATACAGTTTCAAACAGTTGTAACGGTAAACTGTATGTGTATTATGCAATTTAAAAAAATCAATAAAGTCATACGTAAAGCTCTTTACATTCCTCATAGGTACATGTATATAGCAAATGTATAAATATATTTGTGAAGAAAAATCTTCAGCCAATATTAAAAAATCAGAATAGTGATCACTTGTAGATGAAGAAGAAAGGAACTTGGAAGGAAAAATGGGAAACTTCAAATATACTAGTAATGTTTAATTTCTTTAAAAGACATGAGGCAAGAATAATTTAGAATTTGAGAAAGCCAA